TATATAATTCGTTACACTGTGGCTGTGTTGTGTGTGTTAACCTGCTGTTGCACTGCAATTTCCCTCACGGGATCAATAAAGTATCTATCTATCTACTCACTGCACCACTGTGCTGCCAATTATATCATCATATAATGAAATATTTTATTTTATCCTTACATGACTTTTCCAAAATTTCATGGCACAATGGATCCCTGAAGGCATACCAATTAGAGAAATGCTACGCTTGAAAACTTGTCAAGACCAAAGACAAAGACTCCAGAATCCCTATAATATCCTCCTCTGGAGTGTCTTATAGCCCATATGTTCTCCTTGGAATCCATTTCCAGGCCTTCTGTGATGTTGCCTGCAGGGTCTTTCCAGAGGAAGCAATTGTTTCAACATTGATTATTCACTGTGTATTACTTTCTTTTCATTGCAATAATTCATACAGTCTTTTTTAGCTAGTATACATGAATCTTTAAAATAATGATTGTGAAGTATGTCCCTAGTTTCTTTTTTAATTTATTAGCTGAATTTATTCCACTAAGTAATTTTTCACTAATCATAGTATACTTATACAGTAGGGAGCTAATTATGTACATACTGTACCTACTGTATAAATGTCTGAAGATACAGTTTATAATCCCACACTGATAAGATATGGAGTGAAATGCACGATGTTTCAGCTGTAGGTGCCGTGGTCAGGTGTGAAAAAGGCTATGCACCTGAAGAACAGCACATACTGTATTGAAATCTTTGCAGAGGAGGAGGGTTCTGCACCTGAAAAGGACTAGGTGCTAAAAGAGGTCTCTGCAGCTATAGAAGGCTGTACACCCTAAGAAGTCTCAGCACCTGGAAAGGGATCTGCACCTTAAGAAGGCTCTATGCTTAAAGAAGTCTCTGCACCTGAAGAAGTTTCTATACCTGAAAAAGACACAGCACCTGATGCGGATGTACATGATTTGCAGCAGATAAAGGATCTACATCTGCAGAGGCCTCTACAACAGGACACGTTGTGTCTTTTTCTCTTCAGCAGAGAGGCACTTACTTTGCAATTTTGCAATGTCTGTGTCACAACTTCCCACATTAACCTGTTCCATACATATAAATATTAAATATAATTCAAATATTGAATTTGAAAACATCAGCACTGAAATGGTTAATTAATTGCACTCCTAATCTTGGATGTATGAAAATGAATAGTGACATTGTCAGTTGTGCATATCAAGTGAACCAAACCTCTGGCAGACACATGACAGTTGTCATCTCCATAACATGAGGGCCTCAAGGACTAGAGTAGATTTCCTGAGGAGAAAACAGTGTGGCTCTTGAGTTTATCGCTGTCTGTTTGCATAAAGTTTCTTCTTTTGAATTTACCCCATAGCTCATTCTCATTGTTCTATATAATAAAACATGGTTTCATGACATTACAATAAAAAACACAATGACCTTGACAATTGCTGCAACCACAAACAGGATAAAACTTTACTTTAAGTATTGGTTATATGCTTCATTAATTACAGTACATTTGTAAGAGTTTTACATTTTCAACTGATACATTTATACACATTTTAAGATAATATCTCTGTATTTCATTTGTTGTAAGGTATTATCCTATTAATGGGATAAATTATTTAAAAATAAAACAAAAAAATATAATCTGGCATTTGCACATCCCTTTAAAAAAAGTTCAGCCCAATGTATTTAGTTTTGTAATAAATTGTAGCGGTTTCCAGTGGTTATCAATTGTGTTAGGCAAAGCTTGTTTTAGCCAGCACTCTGTACATTATCTTGCAAATTCAGTAACTGTTTAATTTCCTGTTTACATAATTCACATTAAAAACATTTAAATGGTTACACGAATTTGTCAGTATACTGTACTTAGCTTGTACTACAAATTTCTAAAGCCCAGTAAATTGGTTTGAAGTACAGTACATTTGCTCACATTTATTAACTTTGTAAGCATTTGTTTTAATATGAATTTGCAACTACTATTTTTTTTTACAAATTATTACTGTATGTCTTCTTTCATTGAGCTTGTGATTCTTTGCAAAAACACTTAACTTTTTTGCAATTTTGAAATTAATGTAAATGTAATCAAATCAAGTTACAACACTTTGGAAATCAGCCATCGTGTCAACACCCCACCTTTCTGTTGCTTAACATACCGTTTTTGTGATCTTTTGATTCTAGACTTCTACTGCCACTGTGAACATAGTTGTCACCGATGTCAATGATAATGACCCCATCTTTGATCCGTTTCTGCCCAAAAACTTCACTGTCCAGGAAGAAGAGGCAAATGCATTTGTAGGCCAAGTAAAGGTATGAAGAATTAACCCTTGCATGTCCTCATGTTACGGGGCCAGCCCATGCTGGGAGATTTGCCTGTGTAACACACAATTAAAAGGTCTGTGTTTTTTGTCATTCTCAATAACCAAATTAATCCAGACTTCAATAAATTCTTGGAAGATTTGGAAAGCAGATGATCCTCCGTGATATGCTCCATCGGTCTGACTGCCGTGTTTTTTTGTTTACAATTTTCCAATTAAAGAAAAGTCATTTAAATAATTTGTCGCCTTAAGGGGCATTCTATAATGAGCAGTTTTGTTCAGCTCTGTTAAACAACGAGGAGTTTTAATTAGCGTTCCAGATTAATAGGGTTTTGGTTTGTTAGAAGAACAATCAGTGGGAAACTATAAGGCATCCAGATGCCTTGATGTTATCTTTGTGTTGCCATTTTGTGTTTTGTTTATTTTTTATTTTACATTAGACGTCTGTTCTGCTGATAACAAAATAAATTGGTGGCAATTACAAGTAAGTATTTACTTTTGAGGTTAAACTCCGTGAGTGCATTTCCTGTTGTACAATATGTGCGGTACTATGCTTTGTGCTGTTCTAGTTTTATATTTCATTTCATTTATTAAACCCATCATGCCTTCAACTCTGTTATTATACAGTATTATACAGTACCCTTTATTCACAGCCTTGAAGAAATAGGAACAAAAACAGACAGTAGAATGAGTTACTGTATGGATTAGATAGTGTCTCACTTAAAACAATCAAAAAATGAAATGCTGTTATCATAATAGGACTATACAGAGATTGCACTGATCAGACAAAGTCCACGCAAGAGGATCACATTTATTCATATCTATAAGTGTTCGTTTAAATAGAATTCAATAAAACAAATCTGCAGTATCATTCTGCTATTTTGAAGTGCCATTGGAGTATCCAGATCTAGTGTATATAGAGGCCTGAGAAGGTTTACTGTTTCATGGGGTAAACAATTGAGGTAACGTGGATAACATACAGTAGTTAAGTTCAGAGAGTTCTCCAAAGACTGACTCCAGAGAATAGTCATTGACAATTTCACAATTTTATAAAGTAATCCACTGAAAGAAGAATCGACCTTTTTTTTTTTACTCTAGTAGAAAAAAAAGTTATTTAAAAGGCTGCTGGTAAAGTTGCAGCCCTGCCAGGAGGAGGATGCAAGTGTATTTGTTACCACAGGGTATGAAACAACTGGATTGGGAGGCAACTAAATCCAAAGGCAAGAGTTGGAGATTTCTAATACACACTGGCATCTTCAGGATACAAAGGGTTGAAATCTAACATTTGAAGTTGCTGGCATGAGTGAGGCATTCGTACCTGGGTGCTGAGAAAGAAGCTTCTTCTGAGGGCGAACCGCAAAATGAGGCAACTCAGACATGTCAAATATCATTTCAATTACTATTGGAGCAATGTGTGATGCTCAGGTGAAATGAAATTTTTTTGACATGATCATCAACATTACATTTTCAGAACAAAGCTCAACACCCAAGAAATAATATATTTGAGGGCATTGAGTATTTAGATATAGTGGGATTTGGCTTAACCCAACTGGCTGTGCGCCAGCACCCTGTCCATAAAATGGAAAGTATGGATGCTAATGAGCAGAGTGAGCAAATACCAAACAGGCAGCTACAAAGGTTGAGATGGTGTGGAGGAGGATGAATGAGATAAAATGTGTAAAAAGGGTTTTCATCTGAGATATATAGATTTGAGAAATTATGTTGTGAATGTGATTTAGAACAGCTGGGGCAAAAAACAACTTGGTTTTCATTATCCCTGGTATATACAGTATCTTAAGGATAACTGAGAACTTTTATATCAATGGGACATGGAGCCCGTGCCAAGATAGGGGAAATTATGAACTCCAACATGTACCAGGACATTTTAGCCAGAAATCTGGTACTTTTCTGCCAGGAAGCACAAGCTTGGCTGAAAATATACATTCCAGCATGACAATAATCCAGAACATCCAAATTGTCAAGCAAATGGTTAACTACACATAATATAAATGTTCTCGCATGGCAGCCTCAACCCAGTTGAACGTTTGTGATTCTAACTCAACAAGGCATTTCAAAAAGATAAACCAAAGGGTCTTAAGGACTTAGAGCAATTCTTTTCAGAGAAATTTCCCTCTGAAGTACCAGAACCTAATAGCACACTGTAGGAGGCATCTGGTCAGTGTAATCCCTGCCAGTAAGTAAACTTAAATATTAAGTACAATAATGTGAATAAATGTAACCCTCATATTATCTGGATTAGGAATATTTAGGCATAAACATTTTGTCACTTACTGCATTTTCCAGGATGATGGGATTATGACTAGAAAGCTCTTCTTTAGAAAACTGGAAGTTTCAAGAGTAATAGAATATCACTGCCATTAAAGTAAAAGCAAGAATTCTCATGTGTTATTGACATATTGATACCTTAATGAAGCTAGTAATTGAACCTCTTCTTTAGGGATGTACGGTTATGGAGTTGTAACTTGCTCTTCGCACATTTTTCATGTAATCAGTATTGCCAGGTCTTTCTGTTAATTATCAATTAATTACGAGTTTTTATCTTGTCAGGTGAATTTGATTCCTTCAATGAGAAATTTATGTTTACATTTACAGTATGTGTACAGTTTCATTATGTATTTTATTTGACATAATTACTGATTCACTGAATGTTACACATTATTTATAAAACATCTTATCTCTATGTATACTACAAATACAATTTTATATCCCTTTTTATTTTAAATAAGGCAAAAACTAGATTAACACTTCTTCCATTTATGTCGGCTCTATTAAATGTTTCTTCACTGGAAAACGTTTTTTTTATTTTCATGTTTTCCCTACTAAAGTAATCAGCAAATCTGTTGCAGGCAGTTTCTCTGCTACAAAGCATTTAATTTGCTTTAACTGCTCAGAAATGCACGTTATGTTATTTATAACATAGACAGATTGAAGACACAAAACTAAAAGTCACTGATTTTTTATTGTCTGTGTACTTTCTAAGTGAGATCATTATATATCCTGAAACAGAAATGTTTATTGCCGCACTCCTGTAGAAAAAAAAAACTAGTATGTGTGGTTTTCTTATTAACACGTGTAATTAACTTTTAATTGATTTTTTCAGAAGATAGATGCTTTCATTAGAATGTCTTATGTTTAATTTAGACCTTGTTAAACACTCCTTGACTTGTTGTGATGGTACAACCATTAATCATATTTTATTTTATTTTTCTAAGGAATGCCCTTATCTTGGTAAAGCAATCTTAAAAAAATTAGCCACATTAACCTGTCTTTTATTATAGAGAAAGCTTTGCTCTAAGCATCAGTAATACAGTCTGGCCTGCCTTAAAGTCCATTTTATTCAACTGGTGAAGCAGTTTCTCACATATCTACTGTACCTAACTTATTGTATTGTAACAGGTACAGTACATAGTGGCTGATATGTATTTCAATGATGGATAAAGTGGAATTCCTATATAAAGTATATGCTCTTTGAGATCCTTTGAGTTGAAAATTGCTATTTAATATCAAGGGATTATTAATTATTATTTTATGTTAATAAAATCTGTATTTTATTATGTTATTATGTTTAGTTATTTGCAGTTCCAAAACCCCAAAGGCCTATTTCTTTTCTGCAAGCACTTTACCATGTGGTAAACATTTTATGAAATTTGTAATATACTTTTGACATTATACTTTCCATTTTTAAGAAGTGGCATTTAGGTATCAATTAATAATGTTCTGTGGCCTACAATAGGATCGCTTTCCACCCACACAAAATGTCTAATTGCTTTTATACCAGCCACAGGCAAAACTTTTCAAAAGGTAACTTCTTTTAAGATAATATTTTTAAATTAATTTAAGGTAAAGGAGCAAACATGCCCTTTTACCTGCGTTTGCTAGGTTAATATAATGAGCTCTGATTTAGCATTTTTCCTGTCTTTTTTGCCAATTGATTAATTCAAGGGCCCAGCCTTTCCATACGGCTTTGTGAAGTGGTCTTATTTTGTGTGAAGCGCCATTAGAAATGATCTTCTAAAACATCATAGAGGCCAATTATTCTTTAAACTATATACCATATTTTCAAAATCTGTTTTAAGATCATTATTGGCTTAGTGCCAGATGGAGTCTCTGAAGAGCTATGCCTGAATTCTAGGGGTGGGTACTCCCTGATTTACTATCTTTAATTATAGTAAAGAGTAATATGTGACTGCAGTTCAAAAACTACTAGAACAGCACTGAAGTATTCTACCTGCATGCTAATAAGGTGTCATATTCAAGAGAGAATAAGAATCTTTTAAGCAACTGTGTGCAAACCTAAAGGATTCTTAAAGATTTTTAGCATTATCATATCCTCTTTTTTTGCTAAAGAAATACCAAAAAGTGTACTGAAGAAAGTTTCGCTTAAAATTCAAGAGGTAACCTCGGGAAGAGAAGGAAATACAACAAAATACAGCTTCTGTATACTGTTGGTCCAGTATGGAGCTAAACTAACAATTTCTTTCATCGTTGTTGCTGTTATCAGTGTGACTCAGGAGCAAAATGGCATTTATATTGACACTTGTATATTAGGTTTTTGATCTGTAACTGTTTTGGTGAGGCATTTTACCATCTATGCAGAAACTACAGTAAAATCAATTAAGTATTATTGACCCCACCATCAGCATTTCCTCAGCAAGAGTATTGCTATATTACTTAAAAGCAGTTTTAACTTTTTTTGTGAATTAATTTGTCAAAGCTGACATTTCACATGGGATCCTTACACTTTTATAATATGCTTTCCTAAGCGGAGCAAAACCATAGAGGTAATGATAAAAGTTAGCCAGGCCTATGAAGTAAAAAGGACACAAAAGGATGTGACAGTTTGTATTTTTCCATCGGACTGAGCCTCTCAATCTGAAATTTCTCTGACCATTGAGTGCACGGACTTCAGCTGTCTGCTTCAGGATTTTGAACCAAATTAAAAAGGAGCATCTTTCTTTGATTGTACAGAATGTGATGTTCCCTACATGAGCATATCTTAATAGACACACACTCCTGAAGAGCACTCCTCTATGCTGTTGTGGTCGCCTTCTTTTTGGTCACGTGGACAATTGGTTTCCTCTCTTTTCAGGCAAGAGATCCTGATGCGGGGGTTAATGGACAGGTTCATTACACCTTAGTGAACCTCAATGGCATTTTCAAAATTAACTCAAACGGCAGCATTTACACTGTGGTGCCTTTGGACCGGGAAGCACGCGGCCAGTATGACCTGATCGTGGAGGCCTCGGATGGAGCCGTAGATCCTCGTCGCACGACCATTACGCTGTCTATCAGGGTACTGGACATTGATGACAACAGCCCGGTATTTTCCCAGAGCTCATACACCGTCAGTTTACCAGAAAATAGTCCTGCGGGAACAGTCTTTCTGCGGCTGGAGGTAAGAGGAGGCTTTGCCCCACAAGTTTATTGTGTTTTCTTCCAATGCCTCTTGTCTCCTTATTGTCCGTGAAGGTAAAGAGCTTTGGGTGGTACAGTGGTTTCGAAGTATGAATGTATTCATGAGGAGCTAAGCGTGCAGCGTGTGCAATTAGTACAATGAGGTGGACATGTCAGCTATCAGTATATTGGCACAGGAAACCCCGACTAGTTGGGAACATTGTTCAGTTTGGTAAATTTGCACAGCTAAAGTACGTGCTTAACAGCAAGCTATTTTCTCTGTGTCATTAATTATGGTAATATGTTCACAGCGCCTCGAGAACCTAGTTCTGCTGCAATTAAAATATGGTAATATATCTAAACCATATTTAAAAAAATTTAGGGCATACATTGCAGGAAAAATATTTTAAACTTTATATGCATATACTAATTAGTTTTAAAAACTACTGTGTAATTATGAAATTAAGTGTAGGGCACCTTGAAGAAATGTCAGATAAAGGGATTCATTGAGGAATGTGGTAGGACCTAATATTCTAATACATTGATTAAATTAACCTGCACTTTAAGTGCTGATATCTATTTTAGAAATAGAAAAAATCAAGGACACAGCTCAACAATGAAAACATAATTAATAAGGTGCCCAATCTGACATCTCACTCAGGAGATGTTATGCAGACACATCACTGTCATCAAAGCCACACAGATAATCTCATCTGCTGACAACTGAAGTCTACCACACTACAGCTAGTCCCAGATGATACCAAGTAAAATCTTCTGATGGGATAAGATTTCAATGAGATTAATACATTTTCTAGCATCACATCCTGCTCTGAGGGGTTTTATACGCATATCTTGCAATTCCCTTGTGTATCTGCCATCAAAGGCTCTTACCTGAAAGGCTTTGACTCCTGGATAACTTTCACTCACATTGCTTCTTTCAGTTTTATCTCATATTGTCAGAGAAGTACAGTTCCTAATTTGAGAAGGAAATGATTTAGTTTCCAGCCTGAGGGTCATAGCTGATGTGGAATTCTCCTGATTGTTTTCATTTTGTGAATGGACATAGAGGATTATATACTGCCTCCCTCTGATGAGCTGGTACTGACCTATGGAGAACTCAGGTCACTTTCCTTTGAAAATGCACTATTCAATTTCCTTTAGGGGCTTTCACTGAGTGCGGACTCTGCAGCAAATGGAGGTGTACAGTATATAATATAAAAACCTTGAAGTATGTACATGATTTATTAATATTAGGGATATGGAAATACAGTACACAGTCATCACACACACACATGTACTGTAGCTAACCTTAGTGATTTGTTGATCTCTCAGTCATTATAACCCTCCCTGCTTTCCTGTTTTTTTTATTATTTTTTTTAAAGTGGACTTGGGTGTTCTCTGTACTTCCAGCTTGCTAAGGGAGATTGTACTGTATATGGGCTTTCAAAACTAGTAAGAAACAGATTCCCCTTTAGATCATCAACTGGATATCAAGAGATTTTTTTCAATTTAAATTGTTTTTCTCTAAGTTCTTTTCACAATGTTTTTTTTTTTTTTCACCAAGGCAAAAGATGCAGATCTTGACTCCAATGTCACGTACCGCATAAGAACGCAAGAGGCCAGACAGTTGTTTTCTGTCAATCCTGTGACAGGGGAGTTATCAGTGTTGCAGGTTTTGGATTTTGAAACTCTTTCCACATCAGGGGCATCCTACACATTTATAGTGGAGGCCTTGGGAAGTGGAGGAAGTATGCCACCTGGACTTGCTACAGTGACTGTGAAAATATCGGTAAGAATGAAGCTCTCAGTTTGAGTCGCCACTGTTGTGGTCTTTTTCACTATTGCTTTTTATAGAATCTATCTTTAAGATGAAAACTCATAGTGGTGCTGTTCAAGATCCCTTAATATGTATGTTTACATTTTTGTTTTCTGAAAGCTTGAAATATTGCATATTGTGAAATAACCCTTGCCCTTAAAGATAATTGCACCTCTCCAATTCCATATTTTTCAGTCTGCACAAAAGGCAGACTGACTGATTGATACTGTATTACAGTAATGCAGTGCTGTTTTATACAGTATGTGATTGAGTCATTCGTTTTGTCATTGCTCTGTTTCGTCAGTATTTTCTGTGTCTGTTTTATAATGTAACATAAGATTAATCAACAGATAGAAGTTGAGGAAAAACAAGTCTCATCTCATACTTAGCTCTGTGTTAACTAAGATAACCTGCTTGGTTACAGTGGGATAGATGCTACAGTGTGTTTTTGACATGGACAGCACATTATCAGAAATGAATATGGGGTTTGTTTGAAGTTGAGGCTCAATATATCATTACCTGGCTACGCTTTTTCTGTCAAATTGATTCATGTGGTTTTCCCATTCTGAAAAATGAAGACTTGTTTGTGGCATCAAGTTTCCTAATCTTCCAGTACAAATAAAGGTCTTTTCTATGTCTCCACACTGATAAGGAAGTCTTCAGTCTGGGAGATTTATTATATTTAGTTGTAGTTACAAACTACAGTTCCCGGTACTTTTTAATGTGGAAATATTAACTACAAAGAATGCCTAAAATATTAAGATAAGATCAGATATTGATTTTGTTTTATCATATTTTAATATCTATCATTTAAATATAAATTAATTGAAATAAATATCATTTCAATAGTGAGGTTTTATTTATTTTAAAGAATAGTCAATTTGTGGTAAAATTAATTGTATCAACCCATTTATTGTGCTGTTATTTTCAATAATCAGATTTAAATTTGCCAGTTTATTGTTTTGCAGAATAAATTGCTTGCTTAAATCAACATACTATGGAAAATGTTCCGAATATCTGCCTTGTAACTATAAAATAAAACATTACTCTGGAAATATTTTAAGCAGTACTTCCTGGCGTCTTACCACTTTTCTTTTTACTTTCAAAAATGTAGGAGACAGACTGTGTTAGATATATAAATAAACTACATAGATCATTGTATCTGACTTTTCTAAATATTTTTTCTCAATTGCTTTTACATTTTAAAATGTAATCAATAACACATGTAATCACCCACTCAGTGTTTAATTAACACTAATACAGTATAGTATGTACAGTAATATTTTAACTGGTCTTCTATTGAGGACACAATGTACGATTTATTTAAAATAAAACAATGTATTTCCTTTTTTTTGTTTAAATGAAGACTAAGACATTATTCATTATTCATTATTCTGTCTTTGTATTAATTATTGAATCATAAAATAGATCACATACTTCTATATTTCATTTAATATTTTCTGTAATCAACATGAAAAAGATGCTATCTTACTGCTAAGTAAACTAACTTTATAAAACTCTTTTTAATTCATGTAGAGTTTTTTTTTCTTATTAGCAGGCTGAGAATAAAAGCAGAGTGAAATAAAATGTAAATCCTTCTTTATCTCAGTAGCTTTATATGGTCTGAAGCTTGCAGTATTCAGAGGTTTCATGTTATGTCTGTAGTTGAACAGTACCCCAGATCAAATCAATCAATAACACATTATAATCACAATGACAAAGTAGCATTTTTTGCATTTCACAGCCGATACAAAAGTGATGAAAATGCTGCTACCTCACAGAGAAGATAAGTGAGACAATTAAATCTGATAATGAACTTGCAATACTTCTGTTATTAAACCAAGAGCTCCTATCTTGAATAAGTACTCTTTGAAATAATTTGCGTTCATATTCTATTGCTATCATGCAATAGATATTATGACATGACATCTTTTGCGAGGAAATAAAATGCAGATACTGTAATTGATTTTGTACTATTCCAACTTTTCCGGGTTTCTCAGTTAAATTGAAGTGCAAGTGGAAGTGAAGTTGAAGGGTTTGATTATTTTTTTGCACTTTGCATTAATTTTACTGTCTATCAAGAAAACCATTTATTATGAGTCTTGACTTTCACATTGGATCATGAAAAACATTTATTTTTGACAGTGACAAATCATTAGGTAGTTGAAGGATTGTTGAAAGATATCTTCAACATAAAGAAGAGGACACTTTAAATAAGATGTAATACAATTCTTTCATGGAGTTAATTTGACTGACTTATACAGTTTTTATGGCCTGTGATTTTGGCATGGATAATTAATAGCAGCCACATGAATGAGTACACTGTTCAAGGGAAGAAAGAGGTTGAACACTACTTTAAATGGAATGGAAAGATTGTCATAAGGATTAAATTGGGTGTCTGTTTTTAGAAATAAATGTGAATAATATGCATATAGCAACATATTTCCAGGTTTGTATAATACTGTACATTCAAAACTCTTTATTACTCTCCATAAAGGCAGGAAAATATTTCTGATTACTGGAGCAAAATGTTGCTGGATTTTCTGCAAGTAACTCTATGTTGTTGAAAGTTAAGTGAAACATTTCAGTTAGCAGAATCACCTTGGCCTTGTGGCAAAGTCCTTTTGGGTGAATCCAAATTCATATCCCAGCTTCAGGGATAAATGGCTTTAAAACAGTTATCAGGTGAAATTACAGTATATTTGTATTCCATTCCAGGCTAAAAAGTTGTGCTGGTTTTCTTTGTAGTAACCAGAAAGCTTTGATTGTTGAAAATAAATCTCTGTACAAAAAGGTAGTGGGTGTTATCAAATCCAACCCTTAAGAAACATGGTTAAGCAAACCATTCCATATAGCCTCAAAAGTACAAAACAACACAACATACCATTGTAAGTCAGGTCAATAGAACTTCTGGTCCCAAAAGGTTTTGTCATTTGTTACAGTCTTAATGCCCTGCATTATCTGGTATTGAATATATATCGGTTTTGCTTAGTACTTTTCCCTGATACTAATGGCATCAGCACTGTAAGAGGGTGACAGTTGTAAATGTGTTTTGTAATGGGAAAAGAGAGAATGGGAACAATTCAAGGAGCAGTGTTCATGAATGTGTCTGCAATCCAGTTCCAGCTTCTGCACTTAACTGCTAATTGTGTTTTGCAGGATATGAACGATTATCCCCCTGTGTTTAAGAACCCTATATACAGGGGAATGGTGGCTCCAAATGCAGTTAAGGGCACTATCATCACTACAGTGTTAGCAGAAGATCAAGATCCTCCTGTAAGTAGAAAATCCTCCTTCTTTTCCTT